AGTTGACCTCCCTCTTGACCCAACCTGAATTTGTTCTAGATGCAAGTATTTCTTGCTTGTTCCATGACAAAAATTTATTCCCGGAACAACTCCATGGGCAAGGGAACCATTAGGGAACTAAAATCAACAACAAGGAGGATGTAGAGATCCTGGGGGTGTTAGAGCAACAGCAATCTACAAGAAAGGAATTACTAAGAGTCAGAAGAAGGCCGATAGTGATGGTGTGGCAGGAGGAAGGTAAAAGGAAACAGAGGAAAGATCTAGGAAGCAAAGCTATGGAGAGAAGTATAAACAGAGGTGTGTACATATATAAATATATTAATTCATTAAAATAGGGTAATGTCCTATGTACATATATTTATATGGCAATCCATTGAGGAAGTGGATGGACTTTGGGCCTTTTCTCAATCCCTCTCTCAATGCAAGAACACTTTGTTCTAAAAACCTAGCATTCTGTGACACTCACCCTCCTGATACAATTGCTAATGGGTGCATAATCAAATGTGGAAGAAAAATGCTGATGGTGCTCAGCTATCAAAAGGTATAGCATCCAGGGTCTTAAAGGCTTGCAGTTAAACAAGTGGCCATCTAGAGAGAAGCAACAAGCCCACATGGAATAAGCACATCAGCCTGTGTGATCATGAGGTGACAACGGGATCAGGTAACAGGAATCAGGTAACAGACTCCAAATAAACAAACAAAACCGTACTGTTGAGAAGGAGGAGGTTTGGAGCAGAGACCTAAAACCCATCTGTAGACAATAGGACATCCCCTTGCAGAAGGGTCACAAGGAAGGGATGAGTCAACCAGGGTGCAATATAGCACCAATGAAACACAATATTCCTCTGGTTCTTAGAGGCTTCCTCGCCCCCCACTATCATGACCCCAGTCCTGCCTTTCAGTTCTGGCTAGACCAGGGCATGTGCACAGGTACAGACAAGAGCTCACGGCAAAGGGAATCCAGGTCAGATAAACCCCTCAGGAACAGAAATTTGGATAGGGATACCATCAGAATAGGAGGAAAGTGGGCGGAGGAACAGGGAACAGATTGCAATGATGGACACATACCCTCTCCCCCTTCTGAGGGGATCGAACAACAGAATTGTGGGTGAAGGGAGGCAGCAGTTGGTGTAAGATATAATAATAATAATTTATAATTTATCAAGGGTTCAGGAGTGTGGGAGGGTTGGGGAAGGAGGAAGGAGGGAGGGTAAAAACAGGAGCTGATACCAAGGGCTCAATAGAAAGTAAATGTCTAGAAAGTAATGATGGCAATGTATGTACAAATATGCTTAATACAATTGATGTATGGATTGCTATTAAAGCTGGAAAAGCCTCCAGTAAAATGATCTTTAAAGGAAAAGAAAATACCATGGCTTGGGTCAGGCCCACTTTAGGCCTCAAGGTAACATCTTTGCTTTCTAGCCAAGGTTTGTTGTAGCAGATTTTCCCAATATATCATTTGATTTCTTGACTGTCACTTCCATTGATGGTGACTTCTGGATACAAGTAGAATGAAATACTTGACAACTTATAAGTAGATAGATAGATAATAAATAAATAATTATTGGTGGGGGTCTTTTCTTTCTTAGTCTTTATATTTTTACCTTTATTATGATTATTTTTGAAACTTTATTTTGTTTTTGTTTTTTATTGTTTCTGTGGGTTTCCCAGTTTGTGAGGCACATAAGGAGGAGATGCATAGAGGTAATCACTGATGCTAGGGTTTATTGGGGATTTGGCAGGGGGAGATAGGGAGGGGAGGGGATTTGGAAAGCAAATGGAGGGAGCACTAGAACTGATTGTGATTATGTATACAACTCATTTTAAATGCAATTTAACCATGGAAGTGTATACTATGTGAGTACTATGTCAAGAAAACCACTTATAAAAAGAAAAGAAAGAAACCACACCCGACCAACAGTTAGCATGGGTGAAGGGGAAAGAATTGTTGCTTAGGGGACATTGAGTTTATGTCAGTAGTGGTAGACTAATTTGGAAAAAGATATCAATAATGGTTGTACAACATGAAGAGTATAATCAATGGCACTAAATTACACAAGTAGAAGTTGTGGAATTGGAGAATGTTTCTTGTGTATATTTTTGCCACAATTAGAAAAAATCACATGAATAACAATGAGCACAGAAAGAAGAAAATGTCCTATAAATGAAAATGGTGACAATTTTACAACCCTTCTTGATATGATTGAATTATTGAATTGTAAAACATGTGGATAGAGTGCTTATAAAACTGTTGTTGTAAAAAGCAAATAGATTGTTGTAGATGTAGTTAGGTTAAAATTTAGCACCTATTATTTGATCTTCCTTATGATCCATTAAAATTTCTTCTAGTTTTTAATATTTTCTGCTTTTT